TGAAACAAAAGAAATCACTCGAGCACTTACGGATCCGCGGGCTTCCACAGCTGACATGAGTTTTGCACGCAGTTTAACTTCCACCACCAGGTCCGGTGATGTGTTTCCGCTCTGGCAAATCCTTTCCCTTCAAGTTCCTTGCTTCGGACGCCAATTGTGAGAGTCCACGGCCAGCGTGGCTTTCGCGGGTTCAAAAACTTGGAGGGAGGGCTGACGCACAAATGATACACAAGACGGAATATTAATTTTTATACCGGGGGAACCAGAGAAAAACCCAATTAAAGAAGTCGAGTTCTCCCTGTTGCTCTTTTCCCAGCCGCTTTTATTAGCTAGAATACACAATTGCCTTTAGGAATGCAAACAGACATAACAATGGTAATGTTGAGCAAACAGTAAGATTGCCAGGTCTTGGGGGAGTTAGCTTTAGGCCATTGAGTCAGCAGCAGGTAATAAAATGTAGATATTCACCCTGTGAATATCAAAAGGAGTCCTGGTCAGCCTTCTGCCAGACTCCTCACATTTATATCAATTACTGTTGATCTTGGTCTGCAGCAGAGCAACACATGCCAGACCTTAGAGATAGTCTTAATAAATGAGTCCAGTCTGAACCTTTGTTTTTCTATAGCTTATGGAGAAGGCTCTTCATAATCCTGGGAACTTATAGCTCTCATACAGATAACAACCTACTGTTTTTGTATTTGAACCCTTTATCTTCTGAAGCCAGGGAGAGGAGATTATTGATAGGCACTAGTGATGTTGGTTTTATCAAAGTCCAAATGAAAGTACCAAGCCAAAGATGGGAAAGGAAGAAGACCAATGTAGACTGAGCACATACTATAAGGTAGGACCATCCTACATGTTATACTAAATCAGGCCAGCCCACTCCCACACTCCCAATCTGAGTGAAATTCAGCATGTCCATACAATCAATGCTTAGGTCACAACTTTTCCCCAACTTAGTATTTATACATTTACATTCTCATCACACACATAAGCATATTACATACATATAACCCTCACCTTAAACTACACACAGCAGAAATCACATTCAAGTATAATCCATATCACACACACCTCTAATATTTATAGCAATTACCGCACATACTCTGCACAAATAACGTATATAAATGTCACACACATTGGAATGATATAATTTATTGTGAAGGGAGGATCATTTAGTTTAGATAGGTGTAAGAAATCAATATCAGGAAAATTCTTGGGATAGTTGAAAGAGATTCCATGTGTGTTGAATCTTTAAAGATTTTTAAATAAAAAATAGGAGTAGAACAGGTAAATGACAACAGAAGGGTATTCCAGATAGAGAACCAACATAGGTAAAGTTATGATATAAAGAATCCATGTGAAACATTAATTCTAAGTAGTTGGAAAACATTGCCCATAAATGTAAAGTAGTGATTAGGAAGAGCTATTGATGTGGGCAGGGCCCACCACTTGGGAGACACTCATCACTCTACTAAAACCAGAGGGTGTGGTTAAAGGTTATTATGACCTCTAACAACCGGATGTCCTCTATGCTATCAACAAACCCATTCATGCCACAATGGAATTCAATGTAGCTGTAACTCCTGTGCTCTTTGTAGCCCTTTTTGTTATTCCCCTGGTAACACTTGATTATTTTGAAGGGATACTGGGCCCATATATATACATTTCTGTAGTAATCTCTCCAGTTCCTGATGCATATGTGCTCGATTTTGTGCCAGAAGATATAGATGAAGAGGTGATAGTTCCTGTCTTTTGGAGCTTCTCTTTCTCTCATGAGATCATTGCATCTGTACTCATTGAATTCCCAGCTTGTGCTCAGGTGATGCTGTTTCATGAATTCCCTCCCGGAAAGGTCCTGGCTGTGTACATGTAGCCCACATAAGGGGAACAGCAGGACAAGAGAGCACCTTGAACCTTTAGAGAGAATGTCTTCTGTCACCAGGATTACCTGTGGAAGAGAGAGGAAAATATAACTGCCACACTGCCCTCAATTTGTGTCTTCAAATGAGCTCTACCTTAAAATTCTGTTCCCTGCTAATGTAGATACTTAGGCTCAATTTTACTATTGGGATCCAGACTAGAAGATGATAAATCTCATTAGATAACAAAATTTACAAGAACTGAAAATATGCTAGAGACTGAGTGAGACAAGCACAAAATTGTAGAAAATAGATAAATTTTATTTTGAGAATTCCAAACACCTTCTCTTCACCCAAAACAAGGAGCATTCTAGCTAGTTCTGTTTTAAAGTCCAGATGTGTTCTCATAAAAGAGTGTGTCTGAAAGACAATGGTATTTTAAATTTTATATCTGTGAAGTAGAAAAGGTTTAAGGGAATGTAGAAGATGAGTAGACTTGGGAAACGCTTTCCAAGCAGGAAGGACTTGGCTCACTGAAATCCCAGGCTGTAATAAAACTGACTCTGCAAGTGTTGCTTATCTCATTTTGAATTCCTCATAGCACTTCCCCAATGCCTTTCTGAAACATGGTAGTACGTTTGACTGCCCACTTGCCTTCTCAGAGGCCATTTTCCTAATTATCATCATGCTGAATGATCTTGATTTGCCAGTAAGAATACCATCATAAAGTTTTGAAATAGTGTTTTAAGCAACCAAGTACCAAGATTGAAACTGCCCTCACAGGACCTACTCTGGTCAAAATCAAGGCCTAGAGATATTTGAAAAAGTCTCCCCTTTAAACCGGATCTTCGTCCTCAGTTACCACGAGGAGTTAACCTGACCCTACAGAAACTCTAACCTAATTCTCAATATCTCAGAATTGGTGTCCTCAAATGAGCCTAATAATAGCTTCCTTTTACTGACCTGTGAGAGTCTAATGGGATTTGCAAGAGAGCACTTTTGAGGGTCTCCAGTGCTCTATCAGGCACAGAACAAGGGATAGGCAGGTCTCATTTGTGGAACCCTATCCCTAGCTCAAATAGCCTAAACAGGATGAGAAGACCACCATTCAAGCTACTTCAATGTATTATGCTTGAAAATATTAGGGAGGGAGGGAAGTAGAATTCATGAGATTAATGCTGAATTAAATTCAGGTCTTTGCTTCTTACAAGTTGGATCACTGCATTCTCAACTCTACCACCTAGAAGGTCAAGCAAGCCCCTTCCAGTGTTCCTGGGCCTTTCCCCCAGCCATGCTCAATACCAACCCTTCTAACTCTAACTTGTCCTATTCAGATTCCATACTCACCTTCACAGGTTTGTGGGGATTAGTGTGTGAATCTAAAGAGCAGAATCAGTGTTCTTTCCCTTTTCTTAGAGCTAAGAAGACTGAGGAAGTGAAGAAAGGAATAGATGTGGGAGGGGCAGTGTTCCAACTGATTGGCAGTGGTGGTGGGGGAAGAGGGGACAGCCTTACTCTGTGAACCTGTTTATCTCCTCATCTAGAACACTGGGGGTCACTCTGAGAAGAGCCTGTCATACATCAAAGACAGTATTCTGGGTACACAGGAATGGCAAGGCCCTGGAGGCAGGAGTTAAGAACAAAATTTAACCAAGTAAGTTTGAAGATCTAATTGGCTTTATTAAGCAATTCAGGAATTGGGTAGCATGCCATATAACAACTAGAAAGGTGCTTTGGTGAGTTTTACAAAATGGAGGGTTTTTACAGGCAGAAAGAAGGTGAGACTACGTCGTAGTTAAACTGGATCATTTTAGGCGAGGGCACCTTCATTCAGGGGAAGGCAGAGGGTCTTATCAGCCAGATTACCTCACCAGTGCTGATCAGGTAATTCTAAATTGACCGGTTTAAAATTTCACCTCTGGAAGAGGCTGACATTTGATTAGTTGTCATGTTTTAGTTTGGTGACATGGATTAGCAAACATGATTCACAATTTTACTCATGATTTTTCATACTTCTGATTTTTTGACTTTACAATGGTGTGAAAGCAATACGTAGTCAGAAGAAACTGGTGGGCTAAGCTATGATGGTCAGTAGTGTTGAAAAGAATGGTTGAAAACAATCCAAAATGGGGTCACTTTTGGTAACCATGTGAGGTAATAGATACATTAATTAGCTTGATTGTAGTGATTCTTTCACAATGCATATGTATACTGAATCAGGTTGCACACCTTAAATATAAACAGTTTGTATCTGCTGTAATTCAAATATTTTCAGTTTAGTCCTTTCACGTGCACACACACACACACACATGCACATGCATACATGCACACACTCTCACATACATACTTTCATTTTTAGCTGCTAGTGTCTTCATACATCTCTGTTCCCCAATTTGTTTCAAAATAATCAAAGGGGAAAGGGAGGGGTGTGAGAATTGTCTTTAATAAATGACACAAATGTTTCTGTGTTGTGGTCATTGATCCAATAGTTTTAATCATGGACCAGTTTATGAGGTTATTAAGTTGTTGGTGCATGTTTATAAAATAGAAAAGAATTAAAAGAGGATAAAAGAAAAAAATTCCACACAAGAACCATAGCACCATCTTCACAGGTATCAGTGGTTGGAGTTCTTTATTGCAAAGAAAACATGAAAAATCTTTCCAGTCAGGAAGAGTGAATGAGTCTTAATGATCTAGTACATTGTTAATACTCCTACTTACTACAATGATTCAAAAGTTGGTGAAGAGAAAAAGCAAGTCCTATATAATTTCTTAATCTTCTAGTTACAAACATAACAAGGTTGTCAAATTATACAGACAGAGCTTTCATTTTGCCAGTTCATATTTCTAAATTTTTAATGGTTCCCCCAACAGCTGACTTTTGAGAATATCAAAAAGCAGTTACTTTTAAAAAAAATATATTCTATTGATTTTTTTACAGAGAGGAAGGAAGAGGGATAGAGAGTTAGAAACATCCATGAGAGAGAAACATCCATCAGGACACCCCCTACTGGGCATGTGCCAGCAACAAAGGTACATGCCCTTGACCGGAATCAAACCTGGGACCCTTCAGTTCACAGGCCAATGCCCTAGCCACTGAGCCAAACTGGTCAGGGCAAAAAAAAAGCAGTTACTTTTAAAGCACTCCCTGTGATGAGATAGGAAAAGTCCTGGATTAGTAGCCAGTTGAAGTGGATTTTTTGCTTCAGCATTTCCACTAACTTCATGATCTTCAGCAAATCCTTTAACTTTGGTCTCTATATGTAGCCACATCAGCATCACAGAGGTGTGGTGGTATTAAAATAAGATAACTGAGATGGAAGCACCTTAAAATACTTGTAATGCTATATCATACATATAATGACTACATTGCAGAGGATAGGATTTGAGAGAGCTAAGCTGACCAGTATTATAAAAGGAAGCAGAAGAGTCTATAGAAAATTTTTATTACAGAAAGCCCAGTCCCATTATACGTTTATGTCTCCATTCCCTTTTATTCATTTAACGGAATGGATTATATAGAGAAAAAGAAGTAGGCATAAGTAGAGGAGGCAGAGCCTGAGATAGCTCAAATGCATTACTCATTGCTATTCAAGGAGTAAGTTAAAGGTCAACCACGGGACCATAACCCCTGCAGGGTAGTATCTATCTGTCAAGGTGCACAGGCAGCGGGGGGTTACCATTACAGGCAATGACAACACGCCTAGTGCTGGCACTGCCATGATATGAACAGTTGGGGGGCCGGGTTCTTCTTGTATCTCTGCACTCTGTGACTCTCACTACACCCGCATGGCAGTTCATCATGCCATTCTTGCACAGGATATTGGGGGTGATGCAGATGCTATCAATGGTGCTGTTGTCTTCATGGATGAAGGTGTTGAATTTCTTGCAACTAGGGGTAGTCATCCCCCGTATTTGCATCATCCTGTTGCAGTACAAGTTGGTGCCACCTGTCGCTGGAAAGTCCACGTGTTGCCGCAGGAATCGTTCATACATGGTCTCGCTATAGGAGGGCTGCACCAGCCCCAACCCCAGCAGGGTCAGCAGCAAGAGCAGAAGCAATGAAAGGGTCTTCTGGAGAGCCATCACTGACTTGGAGGTGCCTGGAGAGAAACGAAGGGGTAGGAGGAAGAAAGGTAACAAATGGGCACCAGAGAGAGGAGTTGAGAATGGCAAGTTGATATTTCCTCAACTCTATAGTCTACTCTTCCTCCCTACTTTTCTGCTCACAACTTTTCTCATCACTGCTTCCCAAAAAGTAAAAAGTTTTCAAACATGATCTTCTCTGAAAGCAAGAGCTTTTCTCTTATAGAGAGACGGTGCTGTAGCCAGTACAATGACTAAGGGCAGAGACTGATGGGCTGGATATCCAGGTGTATGTGTCCTGTATGGTCAGGGTGTGAAAAGGGAGAAAAGGCAGATCTAAATGAAACTGGAGTTGTCTGTCTCTTGAGGAAATTCTCTAGTCATGTGATCTTTGGAGAGTGTTAGGTTCCCTGGAGACTCTGATTCCCAAAAGTTTGGACAGACAGGATATGCCAATGAAAGTTTATGAACTGATTTTAAATCCTTACATCTGGGAATTGAAGAAGGTTTGGAAAAAAGAATAGAGTAATATTTAGGGTTAGCCTGGCCTCTGATGTGTCTATTTCTTTTTAAAATTAAAAAAAAAGCTTCAATTACAGTTGACATTTAATATTATATTAGTTTCAGGTGTACCACACAGTGATTACATATTTATATACCTTACGAAGTGATCACCCCAAAAGTCTAGAATCCATCTGATGCCATACATCATTATTATAATGCTATTGACTATATTCTCTATGCTGGCTTGGCATCACCATGGCTATTTTTAAAACTGGCCATTTGTACTTCTTAATTCCTTCACCTTTTTCACCCAGTTGGCATTCTTTTAATGGTATGAAAATCAAGTCTTTTTTGAAATCTTGGTAATCCTATAAAAAAACAAAGTAAAAAATTGAGTATCTAGCCAAAGTACTCTGAAGATAGTAAATATTGGTTGAGTGAACTAATAAACAAAACCAGGGAACTAATGAACAAATGAAATGATATGGGTATAGGGAATGAAGGTGTTTCCCAGGCTTGTGGAATTGACTGATAAAAGACATTTAAAAAATAATCTCAAAAGCACAATCTCCACAAAAGAGGACTTGGACTGTGACTTTTTCCCTTGCTGTTTCTATGCACAACCAAAAACTAGGCCTTGGTGATGTATTTCATTATCATGCATGTATCCTTTATGCTGTGTCTATCTTGTCAATAGTTATTGCTTGTTTTCTGTTGCTTCTAGTTGCAGAATCATGTTGTTGGCACTTTGGGGAGTGGAAAATAAACATATGTTTAATAGAGTTTAAAAACAAGACAAAAGAAGAACCAAGATGGCGGCATAAGGTATAAACCTGTGCGTGCTGCCCCCCACAACAACATTGAAACTACAACTATAAGACAAAACAGCTATCATCCAGAACCACGTGAAAGCTGGCAGAGTGGAAGTTCTACAACTAGAAGGAAAGAAAGCAGCGCATAGAAACTGGGTAGGAGGTGCAGAGGCGCCAAGAAAAGAGGTACAAAGGCGTGCATGAGGCGGGCTGCACCTGGATTTCTGTTTTTTTTCAATTGGAAGGAGATACAAGCTCTTGAATGCACTGAGCTCGTTTAAGGCAAGATTCTGGGGTCCCAGACTCCTATGGGGAGAAACTGGACTGTCTTGCATTTGGTCGGAAAGTGAGGGTGGCTTTCTCACAGAGCTGCTTGCAGGGATCATTGTTGCTGTGGGGGCGCGGGACTCGGGGACCCAGAGGCATGAAGTCGGGAGTTGCGGAGACGCTGACGACAGCCATTGCTGTTTGCACAGCCCTGGTGATTCTCTGAGACCCCGCCCACTCAATTTACATCTCCACCCAAACTGTTTGCAGCAGCGCAAAGGAATCACCTGCGCTTTTGCAGCCTAACCTAACAAACTGCAGCTGGGTCAGAGAGCTCCAATACTTCCAAACCCCAAACAAAGAGGAGAAATCTGCTGGTATCACTGTAGCTCCTGCTGGGTGGACTCACACAGTGAATGACTTGGAGATCCAGGAGCCAGGGTACCCCTGGTCAGATACCAGATTTCAACTCCTCACATCCAAAAGGGACACACTCAAGAAGCAGACTCAGTGAGCACCAAAGCCCCACTGAAGCAAGTCCTACCCCATAAAGGTGTCTCCAGCACAGCAGTTCTTCCACTGTAGACACAGCGGGTCCTCGCAGTCAACCAAAAATGTGAAGACAAAGAAACATGTCACAAATGAAAGAAATGGAGGAAAGCAAACTAATGGAGGACATAGAGTTCAAAACCACAGTTATAAGGTTACTCAAGAATCTTCTACG